GGGACCCCAAAACCCACCCGGGACCCCAAAACCCACCGGGGACCCCTCTGGGGACCCCAAATCCAACTGGGGATCCCCAAAACCCACCCAGGACCCCCTTGGGGACCCCAAATTCCAAATGGGGACCCCCAAAATCCACCTGGGACCACTCTGGGGACCCCAAAACCCACCCGGGACCCCAAAACCCACCGGGGACCCCTCTGGGGACCCCAAATCCAACTGGGGATCCCCAAAACCCACCCAGGACCCTCTTGGGGACCCCAGAATCCACCGGGGACCCCCCTGGGGACCCCAAAACCCACCCGGGACCCCCTTGGGGACCCCAAAACCCCCTCTGAGCCCCCCAGGGACCCCCAGGCCGAGCGCAGGAGTCAAACCTCGTCGTTTATTGGGGTGAAGCGGGGGGGGGGACACGGGGGGGACACGGGGCCCCCCAAAGCCCCCCGCCCGCTATTGCTTTGCTGAGTCACAGTTTCGGTGACCACAGCTGAGTGACCACAGCTGAGTGGCCGTCACAGAGTGACCGTTACTGAGTGACCACCACACAGGGACCATCACTGAGTGACCAGTCCCAGGTGACCATCACCAAGTGATCACTGAGTGGACATCACACAGTGACCATCACAGAGTGACCACAGCTGAGTGACCATCACCGAGTGACCGTCACCTGGTGACCATCACCAGGCCGTTGCTCACTAGAGGTTGCCAAGCAACCGTTGCCAGGAGGTTCCCGGTTGCCAGGCAACGGTTGCCAGCTGCTGGCTGTTGTCCAGTTGTCCCCAGGTGTCCCCGAGGGTTTCTCTTCCAGGATTGTCCCCAGGAATTGTCCCAGGTTTTGGGGGGCGCGTTGTCCCCAGGGGAGTTGTTCCCCAAGGGCTGTCCCTGTCGCTCTGGGGGTGTCCCTGTCCCTGTCCCTGTCCCCCTCCCCTCAGTAGGGCGAGAAGAGCAGGGGGGCGTGCACGGGGCGCAGGGGGTGTCCCTGTCCCCGTCCCATGTCCCCCTGTCCCCTGTCCCTGTCTCCATCC